TATGGAGTTTACAAGTGCTATTAAAAAAGGAACTGGACAAGTATGAGGAAGCATGAAAGTGTTCTCTGTATCATATAGTGGCAAATACTGGGAAAGCTGATTGAAAGGATCAGCGTAAGATTAAAGATATAGTATTTCTAGAAGAAGTCATTGCATTTTATCAGGAAAAGAAAACTGTTCAGGTAAAGGTTCAGATCTGCCAATTTCTATTAAAACTGAGTAAATTCTTTAAAAGTACACCTGTTGATCTTTGCTTGAGTTTCAGAGTTACACACAAGCTGGTTTTGGAACCTGTTGGTAAAAAGGCCTCTGCTTTGGAGACTAGTTCTTTCCAGAATAATGAGAACAAATGGTTGTAAAGTGTCAGTGCCTCTTCAAAGGAGAATAGACTGTAAGGTGAAACTCTAACCTTCTCTCCTCACTTCTGAGAAGTGGCTGATGTGATAGGCTTATAAATTCCCTCAGATTGTGGCTTAGAGGTTGAGACCATGAGGAGTACATGCTCCTGAAACACTGGTGAGAAGTGCTGGGTCTGCCTCAGCTGTTTCCTGGATGTACATTCTCACTATCAGGAAAAAGGGATTGGGCCACATGGCTTGTATGTCTGCACTAGCAGAGACCTGTGGCAAATTAACGCCTGCAGTTTACCTCACAGGACTCTTTTGTGAGGAGGACTCTTCAAACTTGAAGCAAAAATTGTCTTCCATTCATCTCCAACACCACTGCTAATCCATTGCCAGAGGGAAAAGTTTTGGCTTTCTTCCCACATGCAAAAGTGGATAATATGTTCCTTTAGCAAAGCTGCATGTGCATTTTGCCTCCCCGCTCCCAAGAGGAAAGTCCATGCTTTTTCCAGGATGTAAATTTCCTTATTTGTCTCTTAAAGGAAGAACTCAGAGTAATTGCTTACTCCACGTCCTTGCCCCAAAAAGATGTTCTAATGAACAAAGCATTAATTACCTTCTTAGATAATAGAGTGATTGTAATAGATGATAAAACAGGATTATACATTAAATGTGTGAGGGCAGCAAAGTAGCTGCTGACCAGTACTTGGCATATGCAAAATACTTTTTCAGTAAGAAATGATACTAATAGTAACTGAGATTACAAAAAAATAAATAGTCCAAATCTTGGATTCTTTTAGGTTGTTTGGTTTTGGTTTTTTAAATTTTTTTTAAAACCTAAATTTGAATATATCTGTTATCTGAGCTGGAGGAAGAGGTTCTTTAATATACTGCTGTTAGCACCCAAACCCACTGCTCAAGGACCAAATTTGCATGCAAAATGGATGGCACTTATTTTTGTCAAGTATCTACAGATCTTCTGGCTTACCTCACACTGTGAATTGTCCTTGTTACGATAGTCATCCCCTTTAGCTTGACTTACAGTCCTAAACTGACATCATCCCATACAAATGTAGCATTCACACTTCTTTTTATTAAAAATTCTTTACATTGGGAATGTAGAATTCTGAAGTTGAGAGGATTTTTTTTTCCTTTTCTTTTTTCCCCTTTGGTTTGGTTTATTTGAAAGAAGAGAAGTCATAAGCAAAAGAAATTAAGCCTCCATTATCTTGGTCTTTGCTCTCCAGTTTTTTTTCATGAGACCTATGTTTCAATTTTGACAGGATAATAAATACATGAGATATGTGACAGGAATACAATTATAAAAGAAAGCATATATAATTGCAGAGAAATGGGTAGGAGTAGAATGTAAATACATGATATGTCAATATTACAGCTTCTTTTAAAATTATTTTAGTTACATGGAAGTACATGGTAATGGAGGTATTCTTTTCTTCATTGCAGTTTCATAGTGATTTCACAGTAGTCTGAGTTTCAGTATTTTGAATTTGTGTTGGATTTTAAAAAGGATCTTCATGTGCAAGCAGTTCTAAACCTGGACTCAAGATCATCTCTGGGTTTTCAAGGAAAAAGCCCTATGGAAAATGCAGTAGTGAACCTTGTGTGCTTTTGTGTGTAACAAAAGACATCAATAATCAAGTGGTTTAGGTTCCTGCTCACAGATAAGAGAACCACTGTGATCTCATCTCATTTTAATCAAATGAAAGTAAGGAATCTTTTTGAAAAATTCCTTTGCAATAGGTTTCTTTTTTTCTTATCATTTGGCAAAAAAATCTTTATTTTGGGACTGAAGAAAAAAATGCAGGAGAAAATATATGCAGATGCATTTGTGAGCCAAATTTACAAAGGGAGGCAAATTAACATCCCACTCAATAGGTTCTTCTCATTCCTTTTTTTCAAAACTTTCTTCACTTCACTTGTTCCCAGACTGTGGTTTGTGAAGAAATATTAAACAGGAAAATTCAGTTTGTTTTCAGTTAAAAGTTTGATCATAAGTAATATGGTAATCTGAGAGAAAACAATCTGGTTTTGTTTCAAAAAGTTTTAAGACTGTTTCCATAAGGCAGAATAGAGAGTATACCCACAAACTGCTCTGTCTCACTTGTGTGTAGTTTGGTTAGTATGTGCAAATACCCTCCAAAAGATCCAGCTCAAACCAGGAGATAATCTAGTTTCTGAGATATTACCAGCTGGGAAGAGATAGGAACAATATACCTTTCTTTCATAATTGTCTCCCTTGTATTAGCTTCTCTTTTGTTTTCATTAACCTGCTTTGTCAGCCATTTCGGATGTAAGAAGCCAGGAATCTCTTACATGACTTAGGGTTTTCGTCCAGGATGTCAGCGTCTGAGTACAAACTTGTAAAGGAAGTTGCATACAAAAGCAGTGGAATTTTTGAAATGGTGTAAATGCTTTAGCCTTAGGAAAATGCTCTGTAATAATAGAGTCAAGCACTTGTCACCCATTTAAAAAGTATAGAGTTGTCAAATATTTAGTAAAAAATCATTTGCTCTTGTAGTGAGGTTCCTGTCAGGTTGCAGCCTGTATTTGTACAACACTATGTATTTGTTTGTTCTTGATTTCAATTCATTTAGATCAGATTGTGAGGGTTTATTTTGATGTGGAAGGCCTGGTGGTGTTGGTCATATTTATCAATTGTATTAGTTATGGAGGAGACCCACTAGAACCTACTCTTCATTGTTTCCTGTTACAAGCATAGTAAGATATGTTGCTTTCTTGCTCTGTTTTGAAAAACTAGGATCTCTGCACTATGCAAGCTAAAGTATGAAAGGAATCACAATCTGAGAAGGCATGGGCTTAGTGGAATAATAGTAAGTAGTTGTAACTATTTCTCCAGACTGCCAACTGTAATGCAAATCTAGCAGGTTCTGCAACACTGAGAGTTTTGCTGGAAGTTCTGTGGTTCCTTCAGTATTCTGTGGGCAATCACATTGTGCACTCGTGATTTATATAATGCTGACCTTCAATTCATCTTCCTTTCTTATATAAAGGGTAACTGTAAGACACAGACAGGAAGACTTACAGTGGATTGTCTTTGTGGACAGGAAATGCTCACAAAACCTGGCAAGAATATTCTGGACAGTTATGTGAGAAAGCAGATCTCTCATGGTCTGGGAGATACCATGGAAAAGTCAAGCACTTTGAGAATTACAAAGTATTTTGCTTGTATTGATGGGGCTATTCCAATTCATACTAAATTCTCCCTAGGGCATTCCAGCTCTACCTCTGTCTGTACTCTGGATTGCTGTCTTACCTGTACACACCCTTAAACAGATGAACAAACACTGACTTGTGAAAAGGGAAATGAAGGATTTCTAAAATATCTCTGAGGATAAGATGAAAAAAGGGCAATTAAAGAGTTAAATTCAGTGCTATGTAAAGGTAACATGGAGAAGAAAAGGAACATGTAGATGATAGGTTTTATTGCTTACCTCAAAATCATTATTTTTGTCTCAGAAATCTGATTTCAGATAGCAGTGATGAACAAATTTCCTTGTATTAGACAACAGCACTATAACAGTATGCTGTCAGTTAAGGCAAATGCATTTAATTAATTTACGTGTGCACAGATTCAGAAGTGCATGTCTTCTGACACGTTTATATATTCTCTTACAATTGTCATCATGCTTCCTTATTTTGCCCTTATCACAACTTGTTTTAACATATCTAACAATGTCTTCTGTGTATTATTCGCTAACATCTTGTTCCAATTGTGAAGAGACATCTGTGCCCTGTGCCAAACATGTGCCGAGTTACTGCTGCTGCCTAATGTAGTGACAAGGTGTAGAAACAGCTCAGTGCTTGGCAGGAGTAAAACAGTATGCCAGAGGAATTTGCTTCCCAGCATGAAGAAATTCTCTATGACTATTTTGATCTTGCATGAGACTTGTGAAGTACTGAAGTCATGTCAGGTTCTGAAGTATTATAATTTGCTCCTGACTTTTGATATTTTTGATTTTTGGGACAGCATTGCTCCATGCAAAAATATAGCTTAACAATTCCATGTTTCACTGGATACACTCTGAAAGCACCATTTTCTCACTCTCTTCCTTCTTTCTGGAATCTGGAATGGGTAGATTTACTGCGGATTTCAAACCTGTCAACACCCAAATGTGTGACACCAGCTCTCAGAACATGTGAAAGAGCTAAGCTGAGGGACATGATTATATGTAGCAGGGGAAGGAGATAGAAGTTCTGCAGAATACATTTTGTGCAGTACAGAAAACTTTTCTGTGATGAACTCCATTTTAAATTTGATCAACTCCAGTATCAGCATGCAGTTGTTAGGGAGTTAGAAAACAGCAGGACAGGAGTTTGGACTTCATGACTCTCCCTTGTACTAGAATGTTAGAGGAATCTGTCTGTGCTTATAACGAGGAAAGTTTTATGAGCTGCTTAAATGACTAACCTGAACATTATTAAAAATGTGTATAACTGCCAACGTCAAGATAAGGAAGTCCATGTTTTGAATATTCCCACTGTTGTTAGAGAACAACCTCACCCAGCAGCCTGGCTGGATCCGGATAGCTGCAACTGAACCAGGAAGTGCCACTGTGCATACACTCGTGCTATGCCTTTGCAGCTGGCCAGTTAGGTACACACTTGCCTGGAGTCATGACACGGCTCTACTCTGCTGCTTCAGCCCCACTGCTGTGCACCCTCGCTGTGCTCTTCAGAACATCTCTGTCAGTGGACCATGTACCGATGCTGCTTTGGTCATCTCAGGGGTAAGAAATCTAATAAAGGAGTATCTCTACTTGTGCTATTGCTCTCTGTGTGTGTGTGTGTGCAGAATATATTATATTTAATCAGTTGTAAATAACCTCTAGTCAGTAAAATTACCCAATAAATAAATTAGCCTTTCAGCAGTCAAACAACCTAACACATGAATTTACTCATTTTTATTTATAATTTTAGTGTTCTAAGCTGGGTAGTAAAAAGTAAGTAAAATTCATATTCTTCACTTCTGAAATAGACATTCACCCTAAGGCAACCTTGAATTCTACTGTTAAGGTTGCCACGATGTCATGACTTAAAGGCACGATATAAGGCAGTCTCACAAAAAATTGCTGATCAAAAACTGTGTGGGCAACCTTTATCCCTGTATTTCTTAACTCCTGAATCCTGATTTTTCACTTTTTTCTTTTTTAATGCAGCTTTTTTAGTAGAATACATTGCTGTATGCGTAGATATCATCAGGAAAACCAGCAGTCTTAGATACAAAGACACACGTGAAATTCAGGGGTTTGCATATACGTATGAAATAAGATTTTGAACCTGTCTTGAAAGAGCCAGAAATAGACTTCTTTTTTCCAACCAGGAATTTTATTCATGCAAATTTTAAGGATTTAATATAATTACTTGGGATTTCCAGAAATATGGCAGCTTGGGCAGTGCAACAGCTTTAATGGGGTACTGGATACATGACGACTATGTACCTCTTACAAGGCTGTCTCTGCAGGGTGTACAGGTTGGTTTTGTCTAGGAAGTACTGCCTCAAAATACAGTAAGCTGATGTCAGAGATTTGTAAGAAAAGGCTCCTGACGGCTTATGGGATCACAGGACTGATTGGGAGAGCCAAAGGAAAAGTTCTGTTTTGGGTGGGAAGGTGACAACACAGCTGCTGTACTCTGTAGAATTTGTCTAAGGTATGCTTTGGCCTGAGTAAATCACTTGACTCTCTCCTCCTGATTCCTAAATCCTCCTTATTCTTAACCTGGTTTATATAAATTGTAAACACTCTTGGAGAGTCCATTTCATACCCTCTGCAAGCAAATATGTATTATATTTAAGTCAACCTGATCTCAGCTGCACATTTATTTATTTATTTCTCTAACGCAGATTACACCAACAGTATTTGGAATTTGTCACAATCCAGCTGGGTGATGCTGTAAGCATAAAGTGCTTTACTGTACTGTGCATAGCCTTGGTGCATTGGTTAACCCTCACCTTTGCTATAAGTTGCTTTTAGAATAAAAGTGTTCCTAAGAGTCTAAGAAAAGATCAGAGATTCCTTTGTCTTACTTCCTCGTTGATACAAACAACACACCTGTTGCAAATATAAGCAAGATATTACCAGTCAATGCTGGGTGGTCAGATAAGCAAACTTAGCAGTTAGCATCCTGCTTTAGATTAGACTGCAGCTTGTTCAGGTTTGTACAAATCTAGAGCCAGAAAATCAGGTCAGTGGACTGATGAAACTGGTTTCATGTTTCCACAAATAGACCATTTTATGGAGCAAGTGTTCCTCCTACCTTGACCTTTGCATTTTTGAAAGGTGAAGTTCTTGTGGGGCAGAAGTTAGTTGCAGTGAAAGTCAATGAAGTAACAGGAAAGAATATTTATGTTATTTTGTAAAATAAAGAAACAGCAGCAGCAACTTTTGGTTGGTAACCCTGAGTGCTTTACACCTTGGTACTTTGCAGTGATGCAAGGTTTGCAGTGTGTGATCTTCAGGCTTATGAAACCTAGAAACTATTAAGAATTTTAGGAAGGGTAACTTAAGAGGTGCAGCAATTATCAGTGGATTTTCATTCACTTTGTGGAAACATGTCCCACCAGTTTAAAAGTTCAGTGATTCACTGATCAACAGAAGTGAGATTCACTGATCTATTCCATCACCCTCTGCCAGATTATCTGTTAGGATTTTATATCAAATAGTTGAAGGATAATATATTTTGCTTTTTCTTTAGAACTAGCCAGTGTTTGTAAAGCCGTATCTTAGAACAACTGCATTAGAATAATATAACACTTTAAAGTCTCTCTTTCATGCATTACTATTGTACTGTAATCATGCTATTAAAGATAATGTTAGATATCAGATACAGATGAAACCTGCAACTGTGGTGTGCAAAGCATAAAGTAAGTGTAATATAAATCATTACAGGGATACTGGTAAACCAAATACCTCTTTCCTCTATAAAGAAAAATGCAGATCTCTACTTTGAGAAAAATAAGTGTGTTCTACCAAACAGAAATCTTTGCCATAGATCCCAGCAAAAGATGGAGTGGAAATAACTCAGTATGTCACAGTGTCCTGCTTTTCACAAAGGAATACTAATACAGCAGTAGAGATTGCCCAAATAACTTTGGCCTGGAAAAGAATTACCTGTATCTTAAATCAGCCTTTAAACTAATATCCCCAGTTACTTTTCAAAGCAAGAGAGATGGAGAAGTTCCTCTTGCATACAATACATGGCAGAAACTTTATTTAGCCATTTTGAACCAGTATTCAAAACTTTTTCTTTCCTTCCACAGATTAGAGACAGAGCTTGAGTAAATAGATTCATTAAAATTAACTTTTATAATTGCCCCTCATGTGTTTGTTTTAGGAATGATTTTTGCCTACACTCATTGCAAAATGTGTTACTACATTAATTTGTGCTATGCTAATATTAGGAAATGAATCCTTTTCTGGCAAATCCAGATTATAAGTGACTTTGAGAAGGCATTAATACCAAATTGTATATTTACTGTGTTTCCTAAAACTGCAAGGAATTTACTGAAAAATCTGCTGGAAGAAGGTGGAACGTAAAGAGCATACAGTGAAACAGAAGAATGTTTTAGCAGTAACTTTGTGTGACTTCTGTGACAATACTATGTGCCAGCATGCACGCCAGTTTACTTCTGCTGTGCAAGAGGAAATATTATTTCTTATATGGCAATTGTGAGGACACTGAAAGAGACAACTGACAAGAGTAACTTGGAGGAAAGAGTTCAGAAGGCAGCTACAAAGCAAAAATGTAGGCCCTTCTGGAGTGTTGGATACAAGAAATCTTGAAATGTTTGCTTCCATTAATAATAAGTGCCAGATCTCAGTTCTGTCTAGAAAGAACACTGGTCAGATAAGAATCTGTATCCTTAAACCTGTTGTCATGCCAGAGCAGCTAAGGACAAGAAAGCAGCAAAATAAAAAGCTAATGTCTGCTACTGGAGGAAAGAGAGAGCAGATGAGTTTTAAGTTTCCTCCTTTTTAGCCAGCAGAAAAACACGTATACGAGCAAAGATATTCATCATTGTGAGCCCCCCACAGCTCAGGACCCCAGGATGGCTCTGTGGTGGGGAGGTTAAGTCTAATGTGCTTGGCATGCAGAGGACTTCACAAGGCAGTGCATCTTTGGACATAAAATTGTGTGTGAGCAATCACTATTAGCAATCAATATGTGTGTTGGCCTACTGCCTGTTTCATCCTATGCCACCTCTGACTGATCTCTTGCTGACCGCTTGAGTTAAAGCATTCAAAGGGATGGGCTGGTTCATTGCATTCAGTAAAGCACGCCATCAGTGTAGCCACGATGCACTGCCTGTGGCAGTCACGTATCTCCATTTCACTCTGCAGTTCACAGCAAACCAGCTAGTACAACATAAAACGTATGTCATGGTGAGAATATTGTTGCACCCAGCTGACAGTAGCAGCCCACTCAGTGAAGGGTATAGCCTTGCCTACAGCCATGCATGGTGCTTAGCAAACTATTTAGAAGCACCACAATAAATGCATGTGTAATATACTGAATGTAAGTATTAGGAAAACACTGCATTATAGTAGAATTATTGAATAACTGATGTAGATTTTTTTTCTAATGATGACGCTGGAGTTACTAAAGTTGACTGGAAGCTAAAAGGTCTCACAAAAGGTGCTTTTCAAGACTAGATAGCTAGCAAGACCTGCTTCAAGGGACAGGGAATACCTTAGAAGCAAGTATGCTTTAAAACAGAATCATTGCATTTCTGAGTTCACAAAAAAAACCTTTGCCATTGTGCTGCTGCAAATAACTTAGTTCTGTTTCATGTGCTCTCTGTTAACTTTTATTCTTAACTGCAAGTCCACAAAGCTCTCAAAGTCTTTGATTTTTTTCTAAGATTAAATTTATGCAGTTAGTTTTTAAAATAAATATACTAAGATACTCACTTTCATTTTCTTTCATACAAGCCAATTTTTAACATCTCTTAATTTAATCTATCTTCTTTTCCTTTAATATCGTTAGTATTTTGGTGTGGCCGTGCAATGCATAAAGGCAGTATGAAAGTCAGTTCTTGAATAGCCATTCAGAATCTTTGGAGGGTTTGTGTTTTCAAGTATCTTATTTTTAAATATCATACTTAAATGTTTGAGATGGCGAGGTTTGTCTTTTCTGACAAGTTGAGGTTACAATTTCTAATTGTTTGGCTTCATAAATGTAAGTTAATGTGAATTTCCAAGCACAAAATAACAAAGAAATGAAGATGCTGAGTAAAACTAAGAAAATAGCAAATGATAATTTCAACCAAATAGAAAAAAAATCCTTCGTGAACAGCAAGGTTTGCTTCTAAAGATTGAAAAGTGATAGGCAGAAGACCTAGAATTTAATTTTAACATCTGCAGCATGTTGTCCTGAGTCTTCCACATGTACAGTTTGATCTAACACTTTACCAAACCCCAAAGTCCTAAGTAGGCTGGGTATTTAGTATTGCAGGACTGCAGTGTTTTCTCTCTGCCATGGGTGCAGTTTAAGGCTTCCAATTCACTCTTGGCAATCTTCATTGGAATTACTGGGAAGTCTTGGAGCAAAATATAGATTTTTCCTTATCCAAGAAACAACCCTGAATCCCCCTATGCGTTCATTACCCCTGTTCTGCCTCCATCTTAAGAGACTGCAAAGATTGTTCTCACTCATAAAAGCTTGCTGTGCAAGGGTCATTTTTGAATTGCTTTTGGGTTAGAAAATTTAATCAGCATCTCAACTTCACCAAATTGCAATCATATAAGAGCTGGTGCTACAGCACTCAGCAATTCTCTGTATTTTATTATTTGTAATTAGAACCAATTAGAGGATCTGGAATACCTGATTTCTCAGTCATTATCAACTGATACGTATTTGGGGAAGATGGGAGATTGCGCTTCAAGCTCTGGGGTTTCTACAGAATGAGTTTTACCTTAGTCAGAACACCCAGGACCAAAGTTTTCATAATAAATTTCACCCCTAATAGACTCGTGTTGCATACTGTTAAAATACCGCTCAGGTGTTGAAAGAATAATACCGTCTCTTGTTTTGTCCATAACTGTTTTTCATAGCAGCAAAACTGAAAGTATGAGTAGTTTCTCTTTCCAGTCTTCATAATGACAGGTTGGCAAAAGAGTCATAAGCTTTTCTTGGTGTCATGAGCTATTCTGTTCAGAAGAGCTCTTCTTTCTGGAAAGGTATCAGTTCTCAGCTGCTTCTGCAGAATTGGTCCTTTGTCATGAAAAACTTAAGAGAGACCATATTGTTTACAATAACACTGAAAAGCCACTTTCATTTAACAAAAGATTTATGAAAAAACCTTGATTTTATGACAACTTGTGGTCTAGACTGAGTTCTACTGCTCTCTGGCCACCAAGATATCCCAATGGCACTGGAAAGTGGTTTGGGAGTTTGGATTCCCTCTGGATTCTCTATGAATCTTTTGAACATGTTCTTCATTCCTCTCAGTAGCTTTTTTCTTTTCTTTTTTTTGAAGATGCAGCTGTGCTGCTGTTCACAAACAAGAAAGTAGAGAGAGGCAGTTATCTTAATTGGACCAATTTTGTTCCTGCTGTAGCACAGTTAACATGATATGGGGATAAATGGGCAAGTTTTTTCCTCTTAAGTAGAGTGCAAGTACACTGAACTGTAAACCTGATCTTAAACCAAAGACGATATCATTACCTGCTGTTTCATGGTTAAAGAAAGAAGAGGTGTCATCACTGGCCGCACATTTTACAGAAAAAAAGTATTTTTTGTAGATCACAGTGGAATCCATACACTGCTTTGCATGAAGGACACATCGTCTCAGCACAGGAACTGACTGGACTCTTGAAGCCTTTTACCCAGAATTCCAGAAACCTCATTTTGTTCCTGCAAGATATGGTGCGTAACATGTATTCCTCTTCTCTCTCACCAGTGCTGAGTGCCATTATATACCTGAATGAGATGCCATGGCTCCTTCTCACCAATCTACTCTCTTTGTTTTTCAGCTTAGCATAGATGATTTCACATACCTCAGTGAATCCTACGGTAACAAGAATCTATTTCAAAATGTTCAGGCAAGCATTTCTCTCTTTTATTTTTTTTTTATATGTAGTATTTAAAATAATAATACTAATTAAAAAAAAAAAAACCCAAAAAACAAACCAGGAACCACAAACATAAGAAAGATGCAAACAGACAATAATTGAGAAAATTAAGCTGAACTGCAGCAGTTTTCCTATTTAGATTATTTATTGAGATTATTCCAGTTTGATCATATGAGTTAAAGGAAATCAACTGAGTTTGCAGAAATGTGTTTTGTAGCTATTTTATTTCTGAAGATTAAGTTTTCAGAATTCATTGTAACTGACAAAATTGTTCCTAAACATGCTGCAATTTAATGTTGTAAAGAAAAATATATAAACTTCAAGACTGACACCCCAATATTCTGTTTTGAAGCCACTGGAAGAAAAGAAGCTATAGGAATAAATTATTTTCTCCTGATTTTCAGAATTGAACACCCATTTTATTTTCATACAGGGAGTTAACTGTTTCATATTTGAATGTGGTTAATATATGACTAGATAGTGGATTGCTTTAATCTTCATGAAAAAAGTAATGCTACTTGAGTAATTTGAAGTGAACTCCAGACACAGTTGGAGTGCTCCTGAGCCAGTCAGCAACTTCAGTTTCTGTCCTGAGGAGTTTTATGGATTTTGTGCACAGCATCTACGGTTGTGTTTGCATGACCATTTATTGAACTGTAATTAGACAAAGGAAGTGTTCACACATGAAAGCCATAAAGGTATTCCTGCAGGCAATGCAGGATGAACAGAGCTTTTAGTAAAGTAACTGGTATCAGAGCACACAAGGAACGATAAATTCCCAAGCACCATAGAGTAAGCTGTATGTGTTGTTAAGTACATAGATATTCACATATTACCTTTACATCTATACTAAGAACCTCACATTTTGTTTGTATTATTAATACTAGAGATCTTCATCTCTTTGCCACAAAACAGCATTTTAACACTGATGCTAGAACAAAAGCATGTACATGCGTTTTCTGAGGAATGAATGGGGGTAATCTTTTGTAGTGTAAGGACCAGCAGTTGTCCACAGGCAGATGTACTGGTACTTCTCTGGTGTGCCTTACACTCATGAGTTTCAAACCTGTGCAAGACTGCGTGGGGCAAAGTTTGTTGCTGCCTGACAGCAAAACTGGTTTGATTTCAGAAGCTGTGTGAAATGTGCACATGGCATTGCAAGCTCCTAATGTCGTGGTGGCCTTATTTAAGTAAGCCCTGAATGATTAAGAGGAGGGATATTAAACTATTTAATACTTCTTTTGCCTTGTAATCAGGACTCCATTAGCACTGTAGATAGAGCTTGAGGTTAGAGCTGAGTCCAGAGATTAACAGGTTTAGAAATTGGATGGGGTATTGAGTGGATTGGGACCTACTGAGAGCTTGTGAGGAGGTCCTCAGCTAAACAAAGGATTGTGTTTGAGTATATCTTGGGTCTGTATGTGGCAGAGCACAGATTTAAACCCAGGTTTTCAACAAGCTGAATAAATGTCAGTAACTGCATTCTGACCTTGCCTCTGCTCTCTGTCTGTCTGGGATCTGAGAAACCTCGTCTCATTACAGCTTCTTTAAAAATTGAAAGTTTATTTTGACAAATTGCTCACCTTAACTCCAGCACCTCCTGGATTTGTTCTGCTGGATTTGGCAATCTTAATACCTTCCTAGCATAATTCTGTGGGTGTAAGGTGCTGTAACTTGAGTGAAAGAAAATGAGATGTATGAATTAAATATTTATTTTTCAACTAGGTTCCCACATGGAGAATTTTGTCAATATCTATTGCATAGACTTGTAGCTTTTAGGGCCAGAAAGGATCTTTATAATCATCCAGTTCCATCTTGGGTGTAACAGAGGCTACAAAAATTTGCTCAGTTGCTATGGCATCAGTTGCACTCCACTTGAGCTTCTTTGGGAAAGAAACCTGTTCTTAATCATGCTGTGAAAGACTCTCTCATAATATGCACAAAACACAGGACAAAGTGAGGGTCAGGTTTAAATTTTCTCAGTGGGGAAATCAGAATCTTGAATGTTACATAATCACAAATTTTTATGCCTTCGCACTTGATACTATACAAGAGATTCATTAGGCTATTATAGACATTCCATGTCACTTGGGCATCCTCCTTTTGAACTTCAGAAATGGAAATTTATTCACAACCTAAACTGAAGATCTCATTTAGAACATATATGTTCATGTAGCAGCATATGTAGTACAAGAAGGAAGCATTATTTGTAAAAAAGTTACAGGCTTGTAAACCACAGAGGTATTTGCAGATAGTACATTTGTTCAGCTATGTTAGCAGCTGTTTTGAGCTTTTGGGTTCAATGGGTTTGTGTGCAATAAAAAATTATATTACCAGTTAATACAAAAGGAAGCTTATCGGTAGATAATTTATCTTAAACATTCAAAGAAATTTTAAATTAATAATAAAATACAAAGATTAGCACTTAGGGAACTTTTTTTTATGAAGTATTTTTCTTCAATATTAGCTTTGGCAATCCCTAAACAATGCTCCATTCCTTAGAGCTGCAGTGTACGGTAATGCACTCCAGTTAGTGGCCAGCTGCTCAGCTGCATAATTATTATTTTAAGTCATTGCCATTCATGGTTCTATGTCTCTATTGTATGCTCACTCAGGGGTCACAGACTGAGTATTGTTTAGTCATGTATGATACAGAGGTCTAATTATAGTTTTGATTGACTTGTTTCCTTTTTCTTTACCTCCTTGAGTTTTATTGTATGTGTATATATATATATATTTTTTTTTCTTTGACAAGGGGGCATGCAGAACTGCATAATAATTATCCAGGTATAAGTTCATCATGGATTTACTCGGTGATATGATGACGTTTTGTTCTCTGACCTGTTCAAAAAACCCTACCATTTGATTTTTCAATTCTGATCACTATCAGCCACTGAACTGCCATTTTCAAAGAGCTGTTGTGCATCTTAAGGTTTCATTACTGAAGGGTAACACTCAGAACTATTATTGTGTACATAAAATCAGTGCTGTTTTTTTTCTCACCCTGTGCACTGCCAGAAAAATCAATTTACATTGAATCTCATCAGTTACTTTTTTGCCCAAGAGGTTGTACCAGAAGTTGCTTCTGCAATTCATCAATCAGCCCTTGCCTTCACTATCTTGAATAATTCAGCATAATTGGCAGATTTCATTAGCTCAGTATTTATGTCATAATTTATGAACATGTGAACAGAACGGACCCTAGTGCAGTAGCAGATACTTTTCCCTACCCTTTGCTTGCGATCTCTTTACCTGCTCTTTACCTATTCTTTACCTACCTCCACATGAAGACTGCCTCTCCCATGCTAAAGCAGCTTAATTTCTTTATGAATCTTTGCTTCAAGACTCTAACAAGTGCCTTTTGTGGATCCAAGTACACGGCATCAGCTAGAGCTCCCTGCTGTACATGCCTATTGACTCCTTCAGAGATTTTCGGCAGAATTGTGAGGCACAGATTCTCTTTGCAAAAGCCAAGTCAGTTTTTTCCAAGTATAATCCTTGTTGTTGTAGTGTGTATTTTATGCTTTGGAATAGTTCCTCCCATTCTTGGATGTCAGGTTTCCTTCTCTAGGGTTCCTTGGATCTGTCTGTAACCCTTGAAAAAAGAGCTGATGTCATGTTTCCCACCACACAGTACAGTGGTATGGAGTTCAACAACACTTTCTGTAACTACAATGTATTTTATCAGCTAAAGTAAATCAGATCAATTTTCATTAAAATCATAATATGTAGATTTATGCATACTTTTGGAGAACACAGGTGTAGTGTAAAAGACTGCAAGATTAATAGAAATTGGAAAGTTAAAATGCAACAATGATAATTTTCTTTGTAGTTATCACTGTGTTTAGAAATAGATGTGCTTCCAAATCTGTTTGAAGAGATTTTTATTTTTGTATAGATAACCCATTGACCAACACTGTAGCAAATAAATACACTGGTTAATATTTTGAATTACATACAGGTAAAGAAATAATAGTTAAAAGATCTTTTTTACATGGAAGACCCTGCCTACTCTGGGTGTAGGCTGCCAGACATTTCCACAGCCAGCACAGGATCCTTTTTCCTAACTAATGTTTTTATTATAGGACTGTCTATCAGCTTTTATACCAAACACAAACTTGTTCAGAACAATGAGTATGCCTATCTAATCTCTTATAGATGGATGCACAAGTCTTTAGCAAAGATTTTAACAATAGGTTTTTAATGATAGACTTAAATTTACTCTATTCCAGCATCAAATTGCTTAGGTGTAGTATGAGTCTGGTGAACATTACACTGAAACGAGAGCTGGTCAAGTAAGTCCAAGCACAGCTTTATCATAGTGTAGCTACTTGGCTTTGGGATGGCTAGAAATGTGGACAGAGTAATCCCAAACCTACCTTCAAAAAAACCCGAACAGAGATATATGTAATCCAAGAGTGAACTTTCTTGTAATATTTCATCAGAAGAAGTGCTTCAGGGAACACTAAAGAGGGGAAATGTACTTATAATCAGAGTAAGCTGCCCATAGACAGGTTATAAATTCTGTCACTTGATAGAGGAATTTCTGCTATCAGTCCAACAGCTCAATAGGAGGTTTCTTTCTGTTTCCTTCTCCCCCTCCCTCTCCCTCTTCCTTTCCTCGCTACCGTGTGGATTTATCTCTTTGTTTAGTCCTTTAGCAGAATGCAAAATCAGGTGTTTCTCAGTAGTCCTCTTCATTCTCTGCTCTCTTTTGGAACTGTGTTTTGAACATACATGGTAGTCAAAATCCTAAAATGCATAAAGCAACATATGAGTATTGTAAAGATAAGTGTCCTGTGGCCAAATGTCAAGAAGGGCAGACGAGAGGCGTGGGATCAGAATGGCTCTCTGAGACTGATGGGTAGATATCCAGCTGTGTCTAGCTTTCAGATGGAAAGCAGTTGAATACCAGCAGCTGGGGGCTGAGACAGATGGCAGTGCAGGACTGGTTAGGAGCAGAGGCACAATTCAGATAATACTCAGTAACAATTTTCTATCTTATTCTACAATAAATGAGTAATTTGCTTAATATATGTCCTTGGAAGAAGTGGCTGCTGCCATTCTGGCTGCTGCTAGGGGGCAAAGGATTAAATATTAAAAAAAAAAAAATAAATTGACTGTTGCTCATGATTTTAGCTTTAAATTCATATAAACAAACAAAAATGAAGTATATCACTGTTTCCTTCCAGGCAGTGCTAAAAATGCTACTCAAAGACCTGCGAACCAGATCAGTACTTTCTGCTCTGTTTTAATTTCTGCAGTTATTTTTCTATCAGTCTGGCAAATCAGACAATGCTGCATAATTCTCCCTTTGAGAGTCTATCGAAATGTGAAAATAACTAGCCTTTTCCTAGGAAGAAGTATATGTGAGCAATTAGAAAGAACCAGAGCAGGTCAGAAAAAGTGGTAGGCAGTTGGAGGACAGACAAAAGGGAAAAAGAGTAGGAGGAGAGAAGTGTTAGCAACACCACAACACTTGCATAAATTAGAGGGAGAGAGAGAGTCTATAGCAACTTGAATATCTGAATGTTGGAGCATGTGACAGACTCAATCTAGACTTAAATATAGAAAATGGGAAAGCAAAGTTTACAAGGTTTAAACTAAGACTCAATGAAAAAATATCTTTTAATATTCACATTAAATTTCTGGTACATTAATTTTGATCATTCTCAAGTCTCCATCTTGCATTTTTTTTCCCCCTGAATATTTCAAGTTAATTTTGTTATCAAGAAAAATAGAAGGCTTGTGTTTAATTATTAAGCAAGGCAATAAACTGTTTATAAATTTATTACAGGAAATTCTTCAGTCTTCTCCTTCATCTTTAGTTTTGCCAGCTGTTGACTGTGAGGCTACCAGGCACCTTCTGAGCTTTCTTCAGAAGTCAGAAGATTGGAACTTAACAAACATAACTAATCTCAATGTCTCTCAGGTGGAAATGAATACACCCAAACCAAACTTACTGGTGATTCAGCTACAACCACTTGTCAGGTAGGAGCTTGCCACAAACAAAACTGACCCATGTGTGTGCACGACATTTAAAGATTTTGAAAATCCAGGAGATTTAAAAAACAAAGTGGAAGTTCGTAGGGTTAGTGAAGTTATTTTTCTTGCAAGGGTAAATTTGGTGCTTTTTAAAATCCCCTGATGAGCTTACTAGATGTAATACATGAATTACATTGACAATGTCAGTCAGGCATTCCATTTTGTCTGACTCATTATATGAGAACAAAAAGACAACTAAAAAAACTAAATGGGAACACACTTCTGGCAGAAAGGCTGAATTATTTTACACAATACATGATTAACCTCCAGAATTAATTGCTAGAAGGCATTCCCAGGCATCAAAAAGCCTGGCAGGATAAATAAGCAAGCAGATAAACATGCAGACAAACCTATAGTTTATTTGAATAAAGAGACTGATTTTTATCACTTTAGAAGGAAAAAGAGGGCTATAATTCTTCATGTTTCCAGGCCTATGACAACTGTGATCTAACAGAGCTGGAGAGAGATGGTTCCTTCAGGGAATGTATATTTAGAAAATGTAAGAATTGGGTGTATCAAGTCTCTCTGCTCAGCTTCTCCTGTACTTTTTTCTTCCTAGCCTGTTACTTGGGCATTTCTACATGTCAGTATAGGGTGCATGTACCAATGTGTCCTAAGGAAGTGCAATTATAGCTATCACATCACTACACAGAAAAAGACATGATACCCATTTTAAGGAGTTCATGTACAAATGTTAGACAATGGGCCAACACCAAATGAAAAAAACTGTGCAGAGATTGGCCAAAATACCATCAGTAGTCTGGCTTCTCTGCAGCTAAGGAAGTTTGAGAGGTTTGAGGAATCAGCTGAAGATGCAACCCTTGTACTGTTAATAGCTTTGCAGAAGAAAAGGGTCATGAGGACGAGATGAGAGAATGATGGAGTGACTGATGCTGGCGGTAATCCTTTTACTAGTCAGTATCCTTGTACATTTCTGGTTCACATTGTTCTTGCCTAGAAAAGATATTTAATTGTTTTTCTCCTGCTCTTTTTGTAGCGGTTTAAATGAGATTTCCACCCTGGAAGCAATTGCTGAAAATGGTAAGCAGTATAATCAAGATATAACTAACATTTCATCATTTAAGTCTGTGTTTTCACTTGAGCAGATTGTATTCTCTAGTTCCCGGGTTTTGCTGTAATACTACTATTTAAAGGTTTGTTTTTTCCCTGTCTATAGTACTTATAAGCAGTCAATTATCATAGCGTTGAAGTACTGAGCATCTGATTCAAAATACACCCAAATGGATACAGCTCTGTGATCTGAAATGTAATGCTAATTCACCTCTGCTTCAGGCATGGGCCTTTGTTCATGCTTTGAGATCCTCCTTGTTCAGAGTATAGACCCTATGTCTCCATGCAGCTTGAGCTGCTTCCTTGGATCTCACCTGGCACAACCGGCAGCTGGAGGTGTCAGGTTCATTCAGCAGTTTGAAGGTCTTGGTCTCAGCAGAGGGTGTGTGAATGAATAGGAAATGTTTTTCTAATCTTTGTAAAACAATACTGTTGCCCTTCACAGCCTTTGGGTTTAGACTCTTTTATCGTTTTTGCCAAAGACTGCTTGTTAAAGTTCAATCTCTCAATATAACACTATAACAAGACTTCTCTTGCCTACCATCTGGATAAAAAAGAGATGCCATACACCCAAAAGGCACTGAGAGGCATGTGAGGGGTTTTTTTTGTTTGGGTTTTTTTTTCAGGACTTTCAGTTACAGCTTTAAATTAGAGATCAAGTTAGAAAGTCTGGAAATCACTGTAGTGGTATTTTCAGGAACATGCAGTATAGTATAGTGTAGTGTAATGTAGCGTAGCATAATGTAGTGTAGCGTAGCATAGTGTAGTGGGCTAATAATTAAACAGTGTCCTTAGTGCCTATGACTGTTTCTGCCTAAAACCAGGGGTGTAAATTTGAAAATCAGAAGAAAATACCTTAGTACTGAAATCAGCGGTATGTCCTTTTCTCTTTGTTTTTGCACTACTCCAGAGTGTGTTTTTTGTACTCAAGCAGCTGGATTTACAGCCTTGATTTGCAAAGTTGTTTAGTTTTGTTTTCTTGTCCCCAAGCATATTAAATATGAAAAACCTTAGCTTAATGCTGGCCTTGCCTAAACATTAGCCTTTTCTTTATGGGACATGTATTTCATCAGCTGCACAAACTCAAGAATAAGTTTCCCAAACCCTATCTCGGGTCACTTCGTTTTGGAACAGCAAAGTTAATGGGAGACCTGTGGGATGATGGATATACCAACTTTCTAGTTAGTGTCATTTAGCTGTTATGAGAAAAAGGGTGTGTGAATGAGGGAAGATGTGCCACTTTGTATGGCCGTACGCAAAATCTGCACTTAGCGTTCTGCATGTCAGCTGTGCTCTAGAAAAGTGGGAGTATGGGCTGAATCCTCACTTTCTGATTTATTTGCCAAAGTGGCCACTTAATGCATTGCTGAATAAAGCAGGAAGTTTTAATTCAGATGAAATTTACTGAGCCACATTTCCTTAAAACATTGGAATTTTGTGTAGCAGATGGAAGCGAGTTGAAAGAGAGTCGTTCCAAAAGTAATAGATAAGTGTCCAAGACGTGGTCTTCCAAGTCGTGCAGTTTGGGCTCCAGAAGCTCTAGGTGTTTAAGCACAACCACAGTCATTTGCTGAATATTGCTGTCAGGAGACCCTCCAAGGTCAAAACTGCTTGCAAGGTTGAGAATTATTGCTGTTTGTTGCAGAGGCACTGCTGCGAGATCCTACCTGGGTAAGCAGCAGAAAATACTATTTCTCACATACCTGCAAACCTCATGAGGTTCAACAAGGCCAAGTGCCAGGTCCTGTACCTGAGCTGGGGCAGTATCTTGGTATCAACAGAGGGAGTATTAAGGGATTGAGAGTACCCTGAAGAGAAGGTGCTTGGGACAACTAAGAAAACTAAATGGCAACACACTTCTAGCAGAAAGGGTGAAAGATTGGACATGAGCCGATAGTGTGCACTTCCAGCCCAGAAGGACAATCATACCTTGGGCTGCATCCAAAGGCGCATGGCCAGCAGGTCAAGGGAGGTGATTCTGCCCTTCTACTCTGCTCTCCCCACTGGCAGTCCTGCATCCAGCTCTGGAGTCCTCAGTGCAGGAAAGACATGAACCTGTCGGAGAGGGTCTGGAGAAGGGCCATAAAAATGATGGGAGGGATGGAACACCTCTCCTATGAGGAAGGGCGGAGAGAGTTGGGGTTCTTCAGCCTGGAGAAGAGATGACTCTGGGGAGACCTTATTCTAGCCTTTCAGTTCTCAAAAGGGGCCTATAAGAGATGGGAAGAGACTTTTTAGCAGGGCCTGTTGTGATAGGATGAGGGGCAATGGTTTTAAACTAAAAGAGGGGATATTCAGACTGGACATGAGGAAGAAATTTTGTACAATGAGAGTGGTAAAACACTGGACCAGGTTGCCCAGAGAATTGGTGGATGTGCCATCTCTGGAGACGTTCAAGGCCAGGTTGGATATGGTTCTGAGCAACCTGATCTAGTTGAAGATTTCCATGCTTATTTCAGGGGGGTGGGGTGGGGTGGGGTGTGGACTAGATGACCTGTGAAAGTCACTTCCAACCCAAACTATTCTGTGATTCTATGATTCTGTGACAAGAGAATTGTTAACCTATAAATACTGATTGTAGTTGTTGGGGTTGGTTTCTTTTTTGGTATCAACAATAAACCCATAGAAGAACACTGCAGACCTGTAGTAGGCTGCCTAGAAGTTCATAAAGCCTCTTATGTTTGTCACAGCAACTTCTTTCCTTTCCTCTGTAGAGGATTTTAAAATCTGATGTAATAAAATGTCAGAGAAATCTCTCCTGCTGTTTTACTCACTGCAGACAGGAAGCTCTGTAAGACAGAACAAATGGGCTCAGATTCTTCCCAAGAGAAATGTACTGCTCTGAAATATCTAGAAGCTGGAGTAAGGAGAGGTTATTAGTATGTTATTAAAATGAAGCTCATTACAAAATCCAAACTGGAATTCAGAATCCAAATCTGTTCAAGTTTCAGGGGATTCAGACTTACTGGTTTTTTTATGCTTCTCTTCAATATTTCTTCTTTTTTATTTTCTTTTGCATGAGGTAGTGTTTGACATAGTTACTCGGGTTTTGTCAGTTTTCCTAAATGTTTCTTTGCTTAGGAGGAAGTTGCATTCTGTCATGTCAGTCCTACCTGCTGGATCCAGCACACTTCAAAATCGATGGAAATGCTGCCTATGGCTCCATCTGCTTAAGATGAAGTGCTTTAATTGCTATTGCATGTATTCTTTTTTCCACTCTGATTCTCAGTGCTTTCCACTCTTTCTCTTCTCTCTCATTTCACCCCCTCTCATCTTACTCTTTATGTTCTATCTCTCCTGTTCATAGTTTGGACTCTTCACCTTTCTTCTGCCAGAACATTTCTTCTCAGTTAATTTCTTCCACCCCTTCCATCCATGTGTAAAATCACACAACGAAATTAGATTAGATTAGAAAGTAGATTAGAAATTAACAATAGCACTATTACCGCACTCCCTGGTGAAATTCAAATGATGTGTCTTCAATAAGTTAGAGAGGTTTACTCTTTCCATCAGGGCATAAATGCAAGCAGTTTTGTTAACAGGAAGGTCTTATCCTAGACAAACTGTTTTACGTTCATAGATGTATGTAGTGTTTTCTTGATCCATGCTATCTAAAAGGAAAAATGCACTTCAGTAGAACCACTCTAAAGTCACTCTAACATCCATATCACCATCTGGAGATGCCTCTTGTTCCATCAAATAAAGAGCCTGGGATGGCTAATCATGTAATTCTGGTGCTTTAAAACACAGTTGACAATCTGGGCCCTTTTCCTTGGAAAATTTGCAGGTACTTCAGAAGCAAGGTAGAATTTTGGCAAAGAAAGGCAAACAAAGATCTGTATCAACTCCATTGTCATGAGGGTGTTCACAGTAGCTTCTCTAAATGAAGGAATTGCCTCTAGAATTTTTCCAAGGGCAAGAGTTATAGATGTTACTGGTAACTATAGTTACCATAGCTCCTTACTAAAGTGAAATGCAAATAACACGTTATCACAGAAAGCAGTTGGTTGCTTTAATGGAAGAAAACCCAGAGACAATCCATGCATTTTCCCATGTATTATTTTTTCTACTGCAAATTATAGCTGAGGCTGCTGAGAATTTCCAGTGAGTTGCATTCTGTGCATGTAGAATGCAAACTCTACATTATGTAATGCCTCCACATCCAATACAACTACACTAGTAGCACATAAGCAGTTGTTTTTCTGAGTAAGTCCATTTCTTAGAGTAGATCCTATTAGCAATAATTTTTTAGAAGGAAGATTTACATAGCTACAGTTCTTGACTGATATGAAGAAATCAGTTTGATTAAAACCCTGCAGAAAAAACAATGCTTGCATTTTTACAAACACTGAACGTTTTACTCAGCTAGCAGACCATAATAGTTGTAAATAGAAGAGGCTGAAAAGGATAATAATATAAGCTTTACTTCCAGTACATGAAAATGAAATACAATTTCTGTAAAGTATAAGCTTGGAATCTGAGAAGCCTGTACGTCCAGGCTGTAAGATATCCATTCACCACACTGGCACATGGATGAGAAGTGGGAAGGCAGTGGTGAAACAGTAAATGTGAGTCTGCGTGCTTATTTCCCTCAGTCCCAATAACAACGCTAATAATGGATCTTGATTCACAGTTATTATGATCCTTACCATAAACAGATGTTAATATTTCTTCATACAGCTTGAAAACATTTGTCACGTGTAAATATTTGTCACAAGCGCCTGTGGTTTCAGTACTAAAGGAGGATCTTCTGTAGAGGTGCCTTGGGAGCTTTTCTCAAGGTCCTTCCTTACTTGACTTTTCCTTCCTTTTTCAGAAATACCCCACCATATTTCTCCTTTGGCCCCAAATGTAGTCAAGAACAAAATTTTCCATATCCTGTTGAGGGTGCAGAATCAGGCTTTAAATCTGCTGAAGCAAAAAGGAATATTGCTGCCAATATTATGCATATTAAGTCCCAAACTAAGCACTAAATTGGGAGTATTTTTTCTCAGTGATTGGTTCTGCTTATTTTGTAAATCACAGAATAATACTCCTTAAGCTTTATTATTTATTTATTAATTCATCTTTACTGATGGTATATGCATCCTGCTCTCATCTCTTAAATGATATCTTCTGCTATTGCTTTTAATTACCCAAAGTTCAACCTCTCAGGTATTGTTTCTATGGCATTTAATTTTCAGTTTCAAAATCACCTTTTTTTCTGAACTGTTGTAATTTAATTGTTTGTATTGTCTCACTGAAACTGTGCATTTTTCAAGACACTGAACATGTGTTACCCCATTTGTATCTAGTGACATATAAATGAGCACCTAAATTGCTTAAATAATAAACTAAATAAGCTTAAACATCTAACTAACTCATTAGTTCTCCAGCTACTGTACAAATTCAGCTTTCTCAGCTTACAGAGTTTATTAAATTATATGTATTTCTATTTATAGACAAAATAATTGGAAGATTGACCATGGATCTACAGGAACGAGGGATTCATTTTTCAGTAATTTATACTGCAGTGAGACCTTCAAGGGTGAGTAATCTTCAGTGCCTAGAACTGTCAGATTTTTGGCAACTAACAACTTAATGTTTAGAGAGGAATGCTGTAGATGATTTTCAAGATTACACAAGCAAGCAATCTGTATTATACGAGGATTTGACCAGAAATGAGTTTTCATGTACGATAGCTGTATTACATAGCTATTGAAGTTTTACTGTTCTAGGAGACCATAAATCTGCAATTGTCTTTAGGACTTTTTTTAGGACTTATTATTTTTTAAGGACTAAAATTTTAGATACTTTTTTTTTTTCCATTCAACTCTAAAGGTGTAATTGTAAATTTTGTGTGAAACCTTATTGACCATCTTTGTGTGGCTGGTCAGTAAAGACAGAGAGTTGTTAGTTAACTGAAGGCTACTCATGTGTAAATTTTTAAATTAATTTTTTTTATTCCTTTTAGTCAATACTTGGTACTTACAACTGGAAGTAAAGTTTTCACCCTTGCTGATAGTCAGAACACCATTTATAGATCACATCATATTATGTTAGCAGTAAGTAGCATTGCAGAATAGTTATTTATGTAGAGTTGTCTGGATTGTATGACATGCAGGTTGTACTCAAGAAATACTCACATTTTAATTTTAATGTGATTAAATGGAAGTTAGTCATGCCTCGAGGAAAACAGAATATAGTTCCCACTAAAAAGAAAGGTATATGAAGGGTGGGCTGTATGCATCAGCAACTTTGAATGAAACATATCTGTTCCAGTGGTAACACATATGAGCTCCTGATATGATGCTTTATTTAATTAGAATTTTAATTCAAACTCAAGATAAAGTCATTTGAGAATACAGAAGGTATAATTTCCTTGGTTTAGGCAACAGGAAAGCCATTAGTGGGATAATTTAGATCTAGTGTGAGCACTGCAGACAGGATCTTGAGAAGCTGGAGGGTTTTCAAGAGGGAACACTATGAAAAACTCACATCTGTTCTTAAAACAAGAACAAAACGTAGAAAACCTGTTTTAAATGGGTGCAGTGATGAAGTCCCTTTATCTTATCCAAAAGAAGAATAAGAGGCAACTTGACTGCACTTCATAAATGTTCTTTAAGTCAAAAGTGGATGAGCCACGTTCCGTGTTTGATTAGAAATAATCTGGGTCTTTGCAGGGAGGTAGGGTCTTGAACCTCTGGCTGACCAACAAGATGTTCAGACTCCAGGAAAAAGGCTAGTTCTACTGAAGAAAACTAGGAACTTTCTTCAGTAATCCACCCCGTGAAATTAATTTTCAGAGTCTGGGTTTTGAAGACCAGACTTAGAATACAAAGCATGAGGAAGCAAGCTCACATTGACATTATCCATGCCGTACGTTCTTGTGGTAAAGGGGAGAAGATGAGTCCGGGAGTTTTGATCTGCCTTTCTTGTAATTTTTTTGTAACAGAGATCTAAAGTAAAAATGAAAAAATATTTAGTTATTGTGTATCTTTACTCTTTGAAATCAAAGGCACACTTAGCTGAAAATCGCATTTGGAACAATTGGAATGAAAAATATTTTTAATTAATGAAAGAATTGGTGTTATGAGAAGGAATTTTTCGAGCAGTTTTAAAAGTTTGTTGAATTTTACATCTATGCATATTGCAACAGGCTTTCTAAATTAAAGTGACTTAGTTTGAGCAACTAGAGTGCTTTTAAATAATTAAAGCAATGTATTTTAAGATGTTCTGCATTTAAAAAAAAAGCAATTAAAACTTTTCTTAATTTTGTAAATTCAATGCCATATAAACCCATTTGAAGCATATTTCCTCACCCCCCAATACTTTTAAGTTATTTCAGTGCATTCAAGGTTATCAGCTTCTGTACAGAGCTAGAAGAGGCAAAACAAAAAGTACCTTTGAGGGTTCATTGGTCTGTACATTTGCATGTAACCTCTTCTTACTATGTATTGCATATCTTTGGTTGTGCTTGAATTGTGGAAGATGTGAACTGTTTCATAACCTTAAGATAAAGGACTAACTCCTTTTTAAACCATAAAGACCATATACCACGATCTAGAAGTTACAGGGTTACTCTCCAATGACAACCAAATAAATGAGATATAAAAGACTTTGATCATATGGGAAAGATGATCAGAGGGCTGGAGTATCTCTCCTGTGAAGACAGGCTGAGAGAGCTGGGGTTATTCAACCTGGAGGAGACTTTGGGGAGACCTTAAAGCAGCCTTCCAGTCCTAAAGGGGGCCTACAAGAAATCTGGCGAGGGACCTTTTGCAAGGGCATGTAGTGCTGGGACAAGGGCCTGACAGAAGGGAGATGTAGATTAGATATTATTATCAGAAAAAATTCTTCACTGTGAGGGTGGTGAGACACTGGAACAGGGATGCAGAAGGGGCTCAGCCTTTCCAATTCCAATTAGGTTGCCTGTAGAATTTGTGGCTACCCCATCCCTAGAAGTGTTCAAGGCCAGGTTGGATGGGGCTTTAAGCAACCTGGTCTAGTGGAAGGTGTCCCTACCCATGGCAGGGGATATGGAACCAAATAATCTCTAAGGTCCCTTCCAACCCAAACATTCTATGATTCTATGATTACTTAGTACATTTAAAAATCGATAGCAATTATTCAGTATGAAAGATTTGCACTTACTAAGTTGGCTTTTTCTCATGATGAAGGAAATGAGTTTTAAGCATGACACTTAAAAAAAAGAATGGACAGCTCCTTCTGATTAGGTAAATGAATTGTATGCAATGAAGCTGCCAACAACTGGGGCTGTGAGATACTTCTCTCCTGATAACACTACCTCCTTGCTGTTGGGCGGTTAATGGCTTTGTAACATTGTCTTTTTGTATTCACTCATTCTTCCATCGCCTCAAGCAGAGAAAAATAAATGTGAGATATTATTGGAAAAGATTCCGGACTGGTAGTGGCTTCACAGAAAGTGAATTTATGAGACAGGAAGGAAAACTCCCATATGGTTGAATCTTTTTTACGATCTGATGAGAAAGACCTGTTTAGTTTAGGCAGTGCAGCCATAGATCCCTTTGAACTATCACAGTTATGAGTTAATTACCCCAGCGCATGACAGAGATTTATTCAGGCTGGTGCTTGTTCTGTTCCAGTTTCAGCATTTGAAGCTGAAAGACAGAATTAAGACCCTGAAACACAGGCTTTTTGGTAACCAAATGAAATGGTTTCACTAACCAGTGGATGGTTCCTCTAGATATCCCATCGTATTATAAAGGATCTGCTTTCCTCCAACAAGGCAACTGCCTCATCTTGCAGCTCTTGTTCTAAAATGCTTAGCCTTCAAGGTCTGGCCGAGTTGCACTGGCACTGGGAGGGCTATTTGTACCACCTCATTCTGGGCAAGTGAAGTGAAGTCATCAACCAGGGTTCTTTTTACAATCAAAGGCTTTTTAGCGTATGATCATTCTGGTCTATTTTGTAGGGGACTGCTGACGGATGAGATGAAACTCTAGTCCATGTCATATTTTTACAGGTTTGCTTCTGAAACTTCTGCAAGACAGCTTTATAGTCTTTATAGTTGTTACCTCTTCCCAGTTAGATGGAATGCTGAGGAACCACATATTGCCAAAAGGAGATTTATGGCTACTTCCCAGCTGATAATCTTTTTGCTGACTACACTTTGTACAGACGCATTGCGAAGTGCTGAAGTGAAGTGAAGTTTAAACCTTCATTACTGAAGTGCTGTTTAAACCTTCATTACTGCCTCCACACCTTCAGACAGCTTCAGCTACTGTGGGCTTTTGACTGCTTCATTCGACAAGCTGTCTGCTCTGGCTGGCATTTAAGTGTGTTGAATCTTTGATCCCACTCAGAGCCAGGCAATGTGAGTTACAGGAACTTTATTCAGCCATAAGTACCATGGGCATCTACAGCACAAGTGGTTGCATTTGACCCTTAAAAAGTGTCTCTTGAAGGTATCTTGAAGATGCTATTTATGTGAAACTCAGCTGAAAAGAGTATGAAAAGTTTTTATCTTCTTTGACAAGTGCTTGTGGTTGCATTTTCTTAGTTTTCACCTTCTACATTTTGCAGTGCTGCATCTTCCACTGACATACAGCTCCTCTCTTGTTGACTATTCAGTTCACCTCTCTGAGACTAAACTCTGCAGCATCCACCCCACTAACTTCCAGCTTCTGATTAATGAATGCTTCTGATTAATGGAACGTTTTTAACCATTTAATAGACACAAATGTTGTATGATGGGAGCTTTCCCCATGAACAAAATGTAGAAAAATGCTTATAATGTCATTTTCAGGAGTTGGGGTTGTAAGGTTAATATCCTCATGCATCCTAGAATATAGGAATTTCCTTGTCCATTTACTCTTGTATTTTTTGCATTTGAAGGAGAAATTACAGTTTGACTTAGTATAATAAAGCATCAGTGCTTCCAACCTAAAAGAAGAAACCAAAGGAATGCTTCATCCTTTAGTCCTCTCCCCACTTAAAGAATTCCATTGTAATAAAAAATAAATTTTAACTTGTAGACGAAGAATATGCACTTAAGTGGGGTTTTTACTAAAAAAAAAGGAAAAGACAGTCTTTTTAAATAATTAGAAAAGGACTGCTTAAGGCTGGTTGAAGCCAGTTGGTTGTCACTCTAGAGTAAGAAAAAATGAACAAACATTTAGCCAAATTAGCTTGGAAATTGAGTGCTAAGGATGTGAGAAATGCTTGTTAGCAATTGTGTATGATTCATTCTGTGTGGTAGAGGGGAATTCAGGGAAATAACTGAAAATTAGTGTTTTACCTTTAACCCCAGACTTTGCACTAGGGCATTAAGGTTCACTTTAAACCTTTAGTTTTCATTTTATTTTTATATTTATTGATATATATACACTTATTGACTTCACTGGGAAATGAAGGGCAGCATGGAACTGAACTGTTGTTCTTATCTGATCAGAACATTTGTTTTTATTTTCAGTTCCTACTCACTTTTTGAGGCCTAATGAAGCCTATACAGGTGTTCCATATACACCGAATTCAAGAATTGTATTTATTTTGCATTTGAAACAA